CCCACCTGGAGAAAATTCCACCAGCCGCCACTGGTTTCATTGCAGATAAACTGTTTCCATTTTTTCCAATATTGTTCACATTTTACTGAGGAATATCTGAGGGAAAAAGTCAGTCACTCCGTTGTATAAAGTTCCTGTGTCACATCCATCCACTCCAGAACTGTAGGTGGTTCCTCTCTTAACCATTTTCTTGTTATTAATGAGGTTTTTTATATTAACGTATTATTATTGGAAGTTTAAACAAATCACAGAAAGCTGGACTTTACATGATTTAAGAGGTTTTTGATATTTGTTACATTTTTTACACAATAACAAGGATGTCACACAGTCCAACATTAAAGCTGTCCAAACTTTACAGTGTTTTTTACAGACTTTTTKTACAGTTTGTCTTGTTTCASTGAGTGTCTCTCACTGCGCCAGGACTTCCTGTTTCCTCTCAGACTCCTGATGAGGTGTGTTGAAGCACCTGTGCAGGAAGTGTCTCCATCAGTAATAAATGAACAGCCAGAGACGTGTGGTAAAAGAAGTGTTACTGTGTCTTGGCAGAGCCCAGAGATAGATCCACCTGACATACCTGATCTGACTGAGTGAAGGATTACCAGGCTCATGCAGAACCTGAAGATAATCAGGGAAACATGGAAAACATGCAGGATAGTGACATCCAGGACCAGGACTGAGCACAGCTGCTTAGATTAGGATGAAAGAAAGTTTCAAATGATTATTTAGGCTTTGGAAAAGAAAGTATTTCAGTTGGGAGCTTTGGTTGTTTACATTAAGACATTTGTACCACCTGCTGCATTTTATGACATCTTATACTGAAATATAAACCTATCAGTCAAAGCTTAAGAATAACATTGTGTGCAGTTTTTCCCTGCACTTAAAGTATTTGTTGTGAGTGATCCTCAGCTACTACCACACCACCGTTCAGTTTAATATCTTTAAAACTGACAGAGTTCTTGTTACGTTTGTGTTGTTAAGGTTTGCAGGATGTGGTTACCATCTTGAATCAGAATAACTCAGATTAATCAGATTACTTTCTGCATGTTTCATTCCAATTCATCCAGTGGTCAATGAGATATTATGCTAACAGACATGCATAAACAAAACACATGGACAGAAACATGTTTTTGGGTGGTGGATGATAACAGTAGTACTGCATGATAATTCTAAATAGTCGCTGAACTATAACACAGCTGATTACTCCTGAACTGTTACTTCTGGACCCTGTTTTCTGCTCTTCTGTCTCTGTTTTMGACTCAAATGTCTCATTTCTGTGAGGTTCTGTTGAAGCGGTGCTGACCTGGTCTYAGTTCTACAGTAACCTCTGTGGTCCCTGAGGAGTAACCCCGGATTTACATTACATGCGACTCCGCTCCGCTSCGCTGCGGTGCGCAGTTCGCAGCTGTTCGTTGGCAACCCAATTTATACAGCCTCAGCTCCACTCAGCTCTGCTCCGGTGCGACACACAGAGGAGGGAGTGTGTGCAGGAAGGAGAACACGCGATAAATCCAGTGATAAATGTGGAAGTCAGAGCAAAAAATAATTAATTCTGTGAAAGTTGAACTCCAAACACAGCTGAAAACATTGATGTAAAAGCTTTTGATTTCTATGGTTGAAACTGTATCACTGTTGTCTTTTTGAAATTTCTGATGTCAAAATAAAATCCACGTGTATCGTGTGTACACATATGCTTAATCTACATGTTGCTATCTGCTTCCCAAACAGAACCATACATTCTGACATTTGTGTAAAAATATATCCATATATTTATTAATATAGCTGCAATTTCGACAAAATTATGGTGTCTTATTTTGAAAATACGGATGTTGTGCTCGTTCCTCTTCCTGTTGGTGCGACATAATCTTTAAAAATTGACTCTGGCACAGCTCTGGCAGAAATAGGATTGAATCTAATTTTGCCAGATRGCCGTCCGCTCACCGCRGCCYTGCGCAMCCAGTGTAAATACTCTCATTGATTATAATGGGTGCGTATTTGGTGCGGAGGTCGGACCGGAGCGTATCCGGAACACATATAGTGTAAATTAGTGGTAACAGAGAGGTTATGTCCTCTGGGTTCAAATAGGTCAGGGTCCAGTTCTGTCCCACAGGAGTGGTCTTTACACTGAATTTAAAATGACTTGAAGGGGTCTGTGGAGAACCAGGACTTCTGACTGACTGAGAATCAGGACTTCTGGCTGAGAACCAGAACCTCTGGCTGAGAACCAGGACTTCTGACTGAGAACCAGGACTTCTGACTGACTAAGAATCAGGACTTCTGGCTGAGAACCAGGACTTCTGACAGAGAACCAGAACCTCTGGCTGAGAATCAGGACTTCTGACTGAGAACCAGGACTTCTGACTGAGAACCAGGTCTTCTGACT